AAATTATACTTGCACGCGGTCGCGTGCACGACATCAGAAAAATCTTGAGCCCCTAAATTTTATTTTCGCGTACTTTACTCACCGCTATGCCATCGCCAAGCCAAATACCTAGTCTAGACTCTAGACATGCACACGCGTAAAGAATTTCGAAGATAAAGAGCAAAGAAATTACGCCATCGCATCGCACCTCTTTTAAGCTGCAGCTGGATTTCATGACCAGATTGCTTCCGATTACTATAAATTGCGAGCTTGGCGCGAAACGTAGAGAGCTAGAACAGGAAGCATGAATCCGGATGCAGGTCCCTCGGAAAATACACAACGTTGGGCGAGGTTTGTTGCCACATGCTTGATTGGGGGGGCAGTAATCGGGATATCGCTGCTGGGCTTGCATTTGGGGGTTCCTCATCAGCCGTCGATGAGGGTATGGCGGAGGAAAAAGAAGCCCGTTCGCGTATACATGGACGGATGCTTTGACATGATGCACTATGGCCATTGCAACGCCCTCCGTCAGGCTAGAGCCCTTGGCGACCAATTGGTCGTTGGCGTCGTTAGCGATGCTGAAATAACTGCCAACAAAGGTCCTCCTGTTACTCCCCTCAAGGAAAGGTCGTCTTCTTATCCGATTATTCTGTTACTCCTCGCATTCATTCTGCCTTTTTAGCTTTGCTGTGAACGTATGTCTTTGTATTTCTTCGCCATTTTGAGCTTCTGTCTTATGCGACTCGTAGCATTTCGCTTATGTGTTTCGTCCCAACGATGATTAAGTTTCAATGTGTTTCGCACCTTGAACGTAGTCTTCATGTAATTCTGTATTGGGGAAATGAAAGTTGTTACATACTTAATCATATATGTTATAGGATGATCATGGTCAATGCCGTTAAATGGGTTGATGAGGTTATTCCGGACGCGCCCTATGCCATAACTGAAGATTTCATGAGAAAGCTATTTGACGAGTACAAGATAGATTATATCATTCACGGTGATGACCCTTGTGTTCTCCCTGATGGAACTGATGCTTATGCTCTAGCTAAGAAGGCAGGTCGCTACAAGCAGATCAAGCGCACAGAAGGAGTTTCAAGCACGGATATTGTAGGTTGGTATTTGAGTCTGACTACTGTTTAATGCACTTCATAAGAAGGGGAGATCTATATGAAAGCATATTCGTCAGTAGCTGTTGCCACTTTGTTTTCTTACTCCGAATGATTTTGTGGCATTATATTTTTTCTCAGAGAAAGTGAGACCTGTAGAATTGCCTTAGCTTATATTGTTGCATTTTGTTTTTTCAAAAAATGGATTAATAATTAACAATTACAATAGAGAACTCCATTTACTGTATAAATTAGCAAAAGATGAAACAACGTCTTTTGTCTTAACATTTTACTCCAATAACAAGTAGATAATCGACCCAAGATGTCTTAAAAATGGTCATATTTATTCACTTATAAATGTTTGGACGAGAGGTCTACTTGAAATGAAATTCATGACATTATAGGGACTCATTTTTAAAGTAATCATAGAGATTCATAAGCTGGATTAGTTCTCGAAAATCTGGAAAAAGTAATATGCTTTCTTTTTCATTCAAAATTACTTATCTATTAATTATCTGGAAAAAGTAATATGCTTTCTTTTTTAATCCTCACTTCAGTACTAGTTATTATTTGAGTTGTATTACGTTCTGCTTCTTGATTTTCGTATCCTGTTTGATCATATTCTTTTTGGCAATATCATGTACAGGTCGCATGCTTCTCTGTGTAAGAGAGAGATCTATTAGTGACAATCAAAATCATTCTTCATTACAAAGACAGTTCAGTCATGGTCATAGTCAGAAATTTGAAGATGGTGGATCTGGAAGTGGAACTCGTGTCTCCCATTTCTTACCAACTTCTCGTCGAATTGTTCAATTTTCCAATGAGAAGGTTTGTACTTCTCCTCATTGCTAGTTGTTTGAATTGATATGGGCAACTGTTATTGTGTCTCTCCCTGAAATTTCATTTATTTTGTACTTTTTATGGAATTAACATTGGTCTTCAGATCTGATTTTTCTGCCAGTATATAAGATGTAGATTTAATCCTTTGAATATTATTTGTGATTTTTTTCTTTTCTTTTCTTTTCTTTCTTTCATTCTTTCTTTATTTATTTTTTCAATATCTATGGTATTGAACCCACCCCAATATTCCACGAGATTTCATGTACCCTAATACTAGTTTAGTGAGACATCAACAGTTATAATTTATTGAACTTTGTATCTTGAGGCTTACACCTATGACTTTGGTAACTTCTCTCCATTTCAAGCTCTTACTACTAGGGTTGTCCCCACAAATGATGATTTTGGTTTATGGTGTACTACGGTGGTACAAATGATGAAATCATAGCTCGAAAGTCAGCTAGTTCGAGGGAGTGATCCTTTTTTTTATTTTTTATTTTTTGAGAGCACTCTTTGATTTATTTCTTTATTGGTTCCTTTCTTGCAATTTGTGTATGGATGGTTTTATCAATCTTTTCAGATAGCATAGATTATACCATTAAAGTTAGCCCATATTTTTCTATTTCTATCTTGATGATGTTACATGAATTTTTTGGAGTTAAAGGCGGGAAAGTTTATAATGTGGACCTAGGACTAAGTAGTTATCAGAGATAGGTAGGTCCTCTGTTATAGTTTGTTAGTAGTTGTGGGGTTAGCAAACGAATGTGAAGGTTGTTAGTTAGAGAATGTGTAGATTGTGTAACAGCATGATTTACGTATGTAGAAGTAGAGGTGGAAGCTAGAGAATATTTTCTAGCCATTTTGGAGGGCCATAGGCTTCTGGAATGTCTGTGAGCCTTATATATATATATATATATATATATTTTATTATTATTTTTTTGAAACTACCATTATATGATTTTCTTTTCATAATTCAATAAGTTGGTATTAGTGCTCTATCTTAGTTATGCTCGAAAAAAATAAGATGGACTATAGAATTGAAAAAATGGAATTGAGACTTGGTACATTGACCGTTAAAGATGAATAAATCATCACTCAACCCAAAAACTTAAGTTGATGGGTTGGGTAAATTTAATTCATATATTGGGTATCTAACACTCCCCCTCACTTGTGGGCTTGGGTAATTAGACCCAACAAGTGGAAATCATAATAAATTAGGAGGAAACAATAATGTAGGGGTTCGAACACAGAACCTTCCACTTTGATACCATGCTAAGGATGAATAAACCACCACTCAACTCAAAAGTCCAAAAGTTTAAGCCGATGGGTTGGGTAAACTTAATTCATATATTGGATATCTAACATTGACAATAAAGGCGAAGAAGATTTCAACTTCAAAATAAAACATAACAATTTTAATGGAGGGAACAACTAACAAACCAATCGCTGTAGAGGGAAGAGGACTCACGGAGGACTTGAACAAATCCCTGGGTTATAGAGAATGGATAAAAGGGGAAAGAGGAAGTATTAGTTTGACTAAGGATTAGAAAAAACTTTCAACAAAAATGCTGGTACATTCTCTCTTATTGAAACCTAGTTTCTTATTTAAAGAAAAGATAGTAGAGAGTAATTTCAAAACAACTAAGATTGAATGTACCAAGAAGAATTTCTTTTTTTTTTTGGGTGGGGGGGTGGGGTAGTTTGTTCTCCTTTTTTGTGATTAATACATCTTTTGTCTCTTATCCAAAAAAACAAAAAGAATGTACCAAGAAGAAGAAATAAATACAATCAAATCCTGAATCTAGTTCAAGTTCCATACTCCATCATTTTCCATTGAGAATCCTTTATTCCTTTCTATCCAGAACACCTTAAGAAAAGTACAAAAATCAACCAACCATAAGCTCTAATTACAAAATATCACTCAATAATTACAAAATTATACTTTTAACTAATTTAAGCTAAAGTAAAACAGTAAATAGAATGGATTAAATTAATTAACAGCCTAAGAACTAAATTGCTTAACAACACTCTCCTCTGGCAGCTTGTTTCCTTCATCTTTTTTCCATTTCTCTACACACATGCTTCTGTCAAAGAAGTTTGGAAGGCAGCTGCTGGTTTTTGGGATTTGGGGCTTTGAAGAAACCTAAAGGATGTGGAAATTGTGGAATGGGCAGATCTTTAAAATTCTTCTCTCACCCGTACACCTTGGCACAATTGAAGACATTTGGATATGAAACCGGACAGCAAATGACTTTTCTCCACCAAATCTCTTGTTCTGGACATGGGAACAAAGCCGACTAACGATACTTCTCTTCTTGCTAAGTCCATTTGGGAAGACAATTACTAAACAATATGAAATTCTTTCTTTGCGAGCTATCTAACCGTGAAATTAACACCCATGATTTGCTGCAGCGTTGGATGCATTGTTTGTCCATCTCCTCTCATTGGTGTGTCATTTGCTATCGAGATGGAGAGTCACAAAGCCACATCTTTTATACTTGCACTTATGCATCATGAATTTGAATATTTTGCTTGCCTCCTTCGATTGGACAGCCGCCCTTCCACTTGACCCAAAGAGTCTTCTATCCTTCACTCTTTTGGGTCATCCATTTGAGAACGAGAAGAAGATTATTTGGATGAATATGGTTAAGGCTTTCTTTCCGGTCATTTAGATGGAAAGGAACCAGAGTTTTTTTGTGGAAAAGAAGAATACTTCTGATTGAATTTTTGGAGATATTACTTATGCTACACTTTTGAGTAATTGGAGAAGTTTCATGTAATTCCTTTGCTTTGGGGCTTTCTCTTCTCCCTTATTTTGTAAATTTCATACATCAATGATTCTTTTTTTTTTGGATAAGAAATATTTATAATAACAAACCAAAAGCAAAGGCGAAATAACCTAAGGGCCGGGGGATTAGAGAGCCCCCACACTCCCCCCCCCCCCACAAAAACTAATACATCAGCGCTTTCCAATCCTGTAGAATTAAGGATAAACTGTAATTACAAAACGAATCCTTGTGTTTAAGGCACCAAAGAGATGTTGTAAGATGTACACCATCTATGAGCCTATCAAAATTAGAGACATTTCCTTCAAAAACTCTATTGTTCCTCTCTCCACAACATTGAAAAAAACGCTTTAACAGCACATGTCCATAACGTCTTAGCTTTACCCTTTAAAAGCCACCCGAACAACACTATCCTACATCCATAAGTTGACCAATTAGTCAGGTCACCTTTTAAGCCTATTTAAAAGATTCCCTTGTGTTGAATCATCTCGAGAGTTGGTTAAATTTCAGACTTCACCTTTTTCGAATTGTCCAACAAGTTTGGTATTGGAGCAGATGGCTACTGGCAAGAATCCCTTGACGGAGGATTGCAAGAAAGGAGATTAAGAGCTTAGCGTTCATCGTTGCAAATATATCAATAATAAGATATGGTTGCAAGTAACAGTGGAGTACGTTGTTGGAGGATAATCATGACAATATACTATAGATTTTAGTTTTTATGATGAACCAAACTTTCATTAGGACAAATAGACCATTGATTTTTATGTTGAGCTTCCAGGTCGCTTGGAATATATATTTTTTTCAAATTTTGATGTTTTTTAATATCCAAGTTCTTAAAACTCGGGTTGAGTTTTTCTTTGTGTAAGCTAAACTATTTATAGTGCCAATATAATCAATTATTGTACCTTTCTTTGCTAAGATTGCTTAGTGTTGTGATCGTCTTATTATCAATTACTTGTATTTATAATAGGAGTTTGTTGCTATTTTCTTATAATCAGTTCCTTGTATTTAAAACAGGCTGGTTTATGTAGATGGCAAACAAGTAATGTGCAACAATAATAATTCATGGTATGCAAAAATCTGATAGGCCTCAGATGGTCTATCTCCAATGTATCCAATATTTTCCTCAAAACCAGACACAAAACAACAGATAGCTTAGCACTTGAAGAGGCCAAGAACTCCCCCTTCTCAAGGAACCCTAAAGCCAAAATGCCAAAACGAAAAGCAAAATGTTCAATGCCCAAAAAAGATCCTAAAACTCCAAAGATATACCCTTCCCTCACAACCTACTGTTGTGGTCACCTATTGCAAAATTGGGCCCCACACTACTGCACTCCAAGTCACCAAGGCTAACTAACTTCTGCATTGCTTTTCTTCCTTCTGCTATAAACATCCTGTGGGACAGGTGGTTCCTTGTTCTTATCAAAATCTAATTTTTGCCCCTGAACTTGGTAACCCTGAACTTTTTAGTAAATCAAATTAAACCTTAGACTTGTATAACTGTTGTAATCTTTAGTTTCTGTTAAGCTTTTGATCGAACAGACATTAAAGGAAAAAACTCTTACTTGTGTTCAATGAATTTTTGTTGAAATTTGTAAGTTTGGTGGTTGATCTTGTGCATTGATTGTTTGGGCTAAACTTTGTGTATCGTTTTGTTATAGTTTGCTAGTGAGTTCGGGAGATTTTGAAGTTAATTTTTGTTAAAATTAGCCGTGAATATAACATAAATTAAACAAAAGGTAAACATTGCAACACTTGCTTGCCAAGTTTAGGGGTAAAAATTGATTTTTTTCCTTCATATGAATACAATTTCATTTATTATCACAAAAAAAATGTCAGATTGTTAAGAGATCAGTCCTTGCTACTTAGGTAAGTTTTGGTTTCTACACTGAATATATGGACCTCGTTGATTTTGATTTGTCTGGACTCTTTCATATTACTTCGCCTTTGCCATGTCCAGTCATGAGAGGAATCCTTTGTTTATTTGTTTC